TGCTGTCGGGGAGTAGCCATATCCATGGAAGAAACTACAGTATTGAGGTAACATATGATGAGAGCTGACTATATCCTGTCAGTGAGTAGCTATATGCATGAAAGAAACTACAGTATTGAGGTTACATAAGATGAGAGCTGACTATATGCTGTCGGGGAGTAGCCATATCCATGGAAGAAACTACAGTATTGAGGTTACATAAGATGAGAGTTGACTTTATGCTGTGAGTGAGTAGCTATATCCATGGAAGAAACTACAGTATTGAGGTTACATAAGATGAGAGTTGACTTTATGCTGTGAGTGAGTAGCTATATCCATGGAAGAAACTACAGTATTGAGGTAGCATAAGATGAGAGCTTACTATATGCTGTCAGTGAGTAGCTATATCCATAGAAGAAACTACAGTATTGAGGTAACATAAGATGAGAGCTGACTATATGCTGTCGGTGAGTAGCTATATCCATGGAAGAAACTACAGTATTGAGGTAACATACGATGAGAGCTGACTATATGCTGTCAGTGAGTAGCTATATCCATGGAAGAAACTATTGAGGTAACAAACGATGAGAGCTGACTATATGCTGTCAGTGAGTAGCTATATCCATGTAAGAAACTATTGAGGTAACATACGATGAGAGCTGACTATATGCTGTCAGTGAGTAGCTATATCCATGGAAGAAACTACAGTATTGAGGTAACATAAGATGAGAGCTGACTATATGCTGTCAGTGAGTAGCTATATCCATGGAAGACATTACAGTATTGAGGTTACATAAGATGAGAGCTGACTATATCCTGTCAGTGAGTAGCTATATCCATGGAAGAAACTACAGTATTGAGGTAACATAAGATGAGAGCTGACTATGTGCTGTCAGTGAGTAGCTATATCCATGGAAGAAACTTCAGTATTGAGGTTACATAAGATGAGAGCTAACTATGTGCTGTCAGTGGGTAGCTATATCCATAGAACAAACTACAGTATTGAGGTAACATAAGATGAGAGCTGACTATATGCTGTCGGGGAGTAGCTATATCCATGGAAGAAACTATTGAGGTAACATACGATGAGAGCTGACTATATGCTGTCAGTGAGTAGCTATATCCATGGAAGAAACTACAGTATTGAGCTAACATAAGATGAGAGCTGACTATATGCTGTCAGTGAGTAGCTATATCCATGGAAGACATTACAGTATTGAGGTTACATAAGATGAGAGCTGACTATGTGCTGTTAGTGGGTAGCTATATCCATGGAAGAAACTACAGTATTGAGGTAACATAAGATGAGAGCTGACTATATGCTGTCAGTGAGTAGCTATATCCATGGAAGACATTACAGTATTGAGGTTACATAAGATGAGAGCTGACTATATCCTGTCAGTGAGTAGCTATATCCATGGAAGAAACTACAGTATTGAGGTTACATAAGATGAGAGCTGACTATGTGCTGTTAGTGGGTAGCTATATCCATGGAAGAAACTACAGTATTGAGGTTACATAAGATGAGAGCTGACTATATGCTGTCAGTGAGTAGCTATATCCATGGAAGAAACTACAGTATTGAGGTAACATAAGATGAGAGCTGACTATATGCTGTCAGTGAGTAGCTATATCCATGGAAGAAACTACAGTATTGAGGTTACATAAGATGAGAGCTGACTATATGCTGTCAGTGAGTAGCTATATCCATGGAAGAAACTACAGTATTGAGGTAACATAAGATGAGAGCTGACTATATGCTGTCAGTGAGTAGCTATATCCATGGAAGAAACTACAGTATTGAGGTAGCATACGATGAGAGCTGACTATATGCTGTCAGTGAGTAGCTATATCCATGGAAGAAACTACAGTATTGAGGTAACATAAGATGAGAGCTGACATTATGCTGTCGGGGAGTAGCTATATGCATGGAAGAAACTACAGTATTGAGGTAACATACGATGAGAGCTGACTATATGCTGTCAGTGAGTAGCTATATCCATGGAAGAAACTATTGAGGTAACATACGATGAGAGCTGACTTTATGCTGTCAGTGAGTAGCTTTATCCATGGAAGAAACTACAGTATTGAGCTAACATAAGATGAGAGCTGACTATATGCTGTCAGTAAGTAGGTATATCCGTTGTAGGAACTATTAAGGTCACAACAGATGAGAGCCAACTGTATCTCGTTAGTGAGTAGCCTATCTCTATCTATCTATCTATGCTGTCAGTGGGTAGCTATATCCATGGAAGAAACTACAGTATTGGGGTAACATAAGATGAGAGCTGACTATATGCTGTCAGTGAGTAGCTATATCCATGGAAGAAACTATTGAGGTAACATAAGATGAGAGCTGACTATATGCTGTCAGTGAGTAGCTATATCCATGGAAGAAACTACAGTATTGAGGTAACATAAGATGAGAGCTGACTATATGCTGTCGGGGAGTAGCTATATCCATAGAAGAAACTACGGTATTGAGGTTACATAAGATGAGAGCTGACTATATCCTGTCAGTGAGTAGCTATATCCATGGAAGAAACTACAGTATTGAGGTAACATAAGTTGAGAGCTGACTATATGCTGTCAGTGAGTAGGTATATCCGTTGTAGGAACTATTAAGGTCACAACATAGGAGAGCCAGCTGTATCTCGTTAGTGAGTAGCCTATCTCTAACTATCTCTATCTCTCTATGCTGTCAGTGGGTAGCCATATCCGTTGTAGAAACTGTTATGTGATAAGTGTCCTTTTCGTAACATTCCCCAACATTCTTACAAGGGCATATTGTTGTATACAGTCAAATCCCTATCTAACTGTTATGAATTCTGTATGCACATTCCATACTTTATCATCAGGATAAAGCCAACGGATAAAATCGATATCCGTTTAGGACATATACGGACAGAGAAGCAAATATCAAAGGTCACGCAGTGACTACTTTCAGTGCTTCCAAGGCTCGCTGAATACAATGTTTGTTCCTAATACAGAATATTTACCATCCCCAAAGACACGCGCGTGATAACCTCTATATACCAACATGTAACACCCTAGAACGAACATTTGGCAATGATAATACTACTAATACATGTACTAATGCTACTACCCATTCAACAGAATATGCCATGATTCATGAAATGCAATTTTGACTGCCTTCAAGCATTATCAAAATGATCTTAAGGGAATGTCATGTATAAACAACGGCTATCCCTGTTAGAGTACTAACAACATCAATCTCTTCGTCAGGGCATTGTCATGTATTACCTATACCATCCCTTGTGTCAGGGCATTGTCATGTATTACCTATACCATCCCTTGTGTCGGGGCATTGTCATGTATTACCTGTACCATTTCTTCTGTCAGGGCATTGTCATGTATTACCTATACCATCCCTTGTGTCAGGGCATTGTCATGTATTACATATACCATCCCTTTTGCCGGGGCATTGTCGTGTATTACCTATACCATCCCTTGTGTCAGGGCATTGTCGTGTATTACCTATACCATTTCTTCTGTCAGGACATTGTCATGAATAACCTACACCATCCCTTGTGTCAGAGAACTGTCATGTTTAACCTATACCATCCCTTGTGTCAGAGCATTGTCATGTATTACCTACACCATCCCTTGTGTCAGAGAACTGTCATGTTTAACCTATACCATCCCTTGTGTCAGAGCATTGTCATGTATTACCTATACCATTTCTTCTGTCAGGGCATTGTCATGTATTACCTGTACCATCCCTTGTGTCAGAGCGTTGTCATGTATTACCTATACCATTTCTTCTGTCAGGGCATTGTCATGTATTACCTATACCATCCTTTGTGTCAGAGTATTGTCATGTATTACCTATACCATCCCTTGTGTCAGGACATTGTCATGTATTACCTTCACCATCCCTTGTGTCAGGGCTTTGTAATGAATTACCTTCACCCTTCTTTGTGTCAGGGCATTGTCATGTATTACCTATATCATCCCTTGTGTCAGGGCATTGTCATGTTTTACCTGTACCATCACTACTGTCTGGGCATTGTCATGTATTACCTATACCATTTCTCCTGTCAGGGCATTGTCATGTATTACCTATACCATCCTTTGTGTCAGAGTATTGTCATGTATTACCTATACCATCCCTTGTGTCAGGACATTGTCATGTATTACCTTCACCATCCCTTGTGTCAGGGCTTTGTTATGAATTACCTTCACCCTTCTTTGTGTCAGGGCATTGTCATGTATTACCTATATCATCCCTTGTGTCAGGGCATTGACATGAATTACCTATACCATTCCTTGTGTCAGGGCATTGTCATGTTTTACCTATACCATCACTACTGTCTGGGCATTGACATGTATTACCTATACCATTCCTTGTGTCAGGGCATTGTCATGTATTACCTGTACCATCCCTTGTGTCAGGGCATTGTCATGTATTACCTATACCATCTCGTGTGTCAGGACATTGTCATGTATTACCTATACCATCCCTTGTGTCAGGCCATTGTCATGTATTACCTATACCATCCCTTCTGTTAGGGCATTGTCATATATTACCTGTACAATCCCTTGTGTAATGGCATTGTCATGTATTACCTATACCATCCCTACTGTTAGGGCATTGTCATATATTACCTGTACAATCTCTTGTGTTCTGGCATTGTCATGTATTACCTTACCATTCCTTGTGTCAGGGCACTGTCATGTACCACCTGTACCATCCCTTTTGTTGGGGCATTGCCATGTATTACCTATACCATCCCTCCTGTCAGGGCATTGGCATATATTTCCTGAAGCTCCCCTTGTGTCAGGGCATGGCCATGTATTACCTATACCATCCAATGTGTCTGAACATTGTCATGTCATGTATTTCATATGTCATCCCTTCTGTCAGGGCATGGTCATGTATTACCAATACCATCCTTTATGTCAGAGCATTTTAATGTCAGTCACTGCCAGCAATTCTTACTGTTAACCCTGGCATTACAAATGACGTTAGTCTCATCAACTGTTTCCTGTTTCTTCAGCATTGTCTGAGGTTTGCAAGTGCCAAATCGCTTACACAATAGTTGACCCGACCACCGACCACTGTGGGTGAGTATGATAATAATAATAATAATAATAATAATAATAATAATAATAATAATAATCGACCCAGACTCAGTTTTTAAAGGAGAGGCTGTCTGAACGATCAAGTTTATGCGCAGGGTGTTGAGAATATAAGCAATCCTGCAGAGTCCTTCGCTTGGATGAAGTCGTCTGGCTTGAAAAGTGAAACAGAAGGCTTTCTGTTAGCTGCTCAGGACCAGTCACTTCCGACTCGAAACCGTCAATGTGTGATTTTGCATCAAAATGTAATTATGAAATGTAGATTATGTAATGAATTTAATGAGACTGTCCAACACATTGTCAGTGGATGCCCAGCTTTGACACAAAGAACGTTTCTTAAACGACACGATGGTGTAGTTCGATCATTTTATTACCGTCTTCGCCATGCTTGTGGTTTTGACACACCCATGGTACGACCCAGAATATGTAGAGGGCGTCATTGAAAATGATAAATACAAAATTCTTTGGAATAAGCTCATTTACAGCCTCAGACGAATCCAGGCCAACAAACCTGATCTTGTCCTTTTTGATAAATCCTATGAAATCAGTTATATCATTGAATTTTCTGTCCCCTTTGACAGTAATGTGATTGACAGGATTGGGGAAAAACATGGCAAATATGCGGACCTCGCTTTCGAAATGTCACGCTTGCATCCCAAGTCCCAAGTTGTCCGACTCCCCATTGTTCTCGGTGCCTTAGGTTTGGTACTTCCCAATCTGTTGACTGACATTGGGAGAGTACCCGGGTTTGCTACCAGGAATACAGCCCTTCTGACAATCTGGGTAATGCAGAAGGCTAGGCATTCGCTGTCTGGGCTACGTGTAGAGGGGGCAAGGGCTCTGAGCTGATGATGAGCCTAACCAGTCTGACTATGCCAGGATCACCCAAACCCTCTTTGCTGCATTTTCTATTTTAATCAGTACATGGTTATAACAGTAATATTAACGTGCATGATGTATATATTTATTATGCGCCAAATCCAGACCCTAAAGCTTCCTCTAAGCCAAACATTATAACCCCGGTCAATCGGCCCTGGTGTCCGCTTGAATATCAGTCTCATCTCCATGGCGATCATACAACCTTGTGTGACTTTTGAGGTAGACTATGTGCCAGGGACCCAATACAGGTTGAAAGAGGGATCACGTTATTACAATGTGGGACCTGGCTGAGTGTATGTGATGGTAATTGGACTGCATGAGTAATGCCACTTTGCTGTTCGGGCTATCAACTGATTACTGACAGGACATAGCTGTATATATTACACAGTGTGGTGTAAAAGAACATTCACCCATTCAATATATGCAATTCGTTCGTTCTAACAGGGAGTTAAAGAAACAGTTTGCATGTCTGGAGGGGAAAACTGGAACAGGTTGTGAAACGAGTAGAACCCTGAAACTGGTGGCTGAAGGAGGGAATACAAAGTTTGGGACCGATTCTTGTGGTAAGATATATATTTATTATTGTCTGTTGTTTTATCTCCTGGTCTATTAATGTAAAACCTGGCTATATATGCATACAGACGTCAATGACAAATGGACATCGTGCAAACCGGCCATAAACTCTGTAGTATCAACTTCATTTGATATTGCTATATGTGGAAAGATATATTAATGTAAATTGTTTATTTCATATCTAAGTGTGGGGACAGCTGGTTGTGATACGACATAGACGTTAATATACTGTACAGAAACCCAGCATAATCATGTGCAGATAGACAGACTGGGCCTTAAGGAATACTAGTATTACAATAAATAAAACATATTTCACTGTCATCAAACTGCATTAAAGTGTGTATAAATATCTTTGTCTTTATAAACAACATTCCCTCCCTGTCTTATGGAGCATGAGGTGTACCTCATTTTGCTGCAAATTCACAACTACATTGTCAGCAAGTGCAGTGTTGTGTTGTGGATTATTTCAGCTGCAGGAGCAACAGCCACTTGTCAATGCCAGATAGCGTATTTGATCGCCGATGTCACTGGAGCCAACAAGTGCACGTAAGTTAACATTGGCGCGTCGCTTTACATGTTCATTGGCGGTAACATAGAGGGACAAGCTGTCATGTCTATGCCGCAGTTTATGTCTAAATGCAGAGAAATGTTTTTTAAGTGACTATCAAGTCCAGCCGCTCAACAAAATGTGTGATTCGTTCATTCTCCGAAGCTTATAAGGGCCATTTTTGGTTTAGTGGAAATGTCAAACTAGGAATATGTGTGAATGGAAAGATAATAACTGAAAACTATTTTTTCTTGGCAAATAATGATATAGTGATGTGATGTTGATTGATAGAATGCCCTAAATGAAACAGGAAATAGAATTGGAATAAACCTAGCTGCCCTTCATGAAATGTTTATAGTTGTTCGCACCTTTATATGTAAGCATCGCTACATTAATTGTTTGATCTCAGACTTTGGTATCAATGACATATCTGCCAATGCCACATAAAAATATTAAATGTCAATGCCAGAGATATAACTAACTAAATATTCGCCGAAACAGAATCCATTAGTCGTAGAAGGAAAGGTAACGGTGACAATTATATCACTGGATCTATGAAGATCAGCATTGACACCAGATGTTCGCTGAAGAAAAATCTACAAAGACTACGCATCAGTTCTGTCCAATTTTAGCTTGACTCTAAAACCTGAAGACATGTCCGTTCCTTTTTCGTACTGGATTCCAAAGCGCCATAAATACCCGACCAACGAGAAATGGATTGCTTGGTCCAGCAAGTCTACCACCAAATTCCTGTCTCAAAGATTACCCACAATCCTTAATACAATCAAGGAAGGACTTCATAGCCGCAGAAAGTAGTTTAGACAGTCGGAATTAATGCCACGTGAATTGAAAAGCCTTCAACGATTGGTTTGATTTTCATCGTCTCAAATGTTCACTATGCCACACGACAACTTACTGAAAAACATTATACATTGATCAATTGGGCATCTGTTACTAAAGGTGCTGACCAGAGATATACGTAAATCTTCAAACATTCAAGAATATTTGTCAAATGTGAAAGCAAATCAAGTCATCGATCTATCTTGAGTTTACTGAGAAAACAACATGTGTAATACTGGACTTCATTATGGATAACAAAGAGTGAAATCTGGGAATAGGGCATTTAGACAAGATTGAAGTAGGCACTCACGTGGGCACCGATTGTGCTCCCCTCCATAGCTGATTCGTTTCTTTATCCATATAAAGAGACATTATCTGCACGGGAATTTGGTGGAGATGTTTAACTTAATCTTCAGGTATATCAATGATCTGGTATTATTCAAAAATGGTCAAATAGGCTATTCCCTTCCAACGTTTTACTCACCTGAACTAGAGCCCAAAGAGACCCGTGATAACGCCCCATCGGTTTCATATGTATATGTTTGCATAAAGATTCAGATTGACGAAACATTATCCATAAGACTGCATGACAATTGGTTAGACTTTAACTTTCCAATGGATAACTTTGACTTAATGTTGAGCAATATTCCAGCAGGTCTAGCTTTTGGTTTCTATATTTTCCAACTTTTGTGGTCGAACATGATATCTCTATTACGATTTCAAAGAGCGACATACGACCGTTGCGCAAACTTTGCCTGACCAGGGTTACAACATTCAAGGCTTGTAAGGCTTGTAAGGCTTCCAGTGACCAAATTTATGTCCGCTGCAATTTTCTATTTTGACTTGTCCCACATGTTCCCGTGTTTGTTTTCTTAGGTGAACAATTGACGTGCCCTGTTTGTGACGGATACTACCGATGAGGCAGTATACGCTCACCTTATTGCGAAAATTTGTGACCAAACACAATCTGATTCTTTAACACGTGCTCATGATGTAGTCAGAATCGTGATGTGATTATGGAAATGATTTGTGTTGCTTTTACTTATGTAGTTATGGTCAGTGTCTTTACTATAGTAACTGTATGTGATCAGAGAGACGGAGAAGAAGATAGCCTGTTTGTATGCAACAACAACAGCGAGCTGTGATGCCGCCGTCCCGAGAACGACCATCATGTCCAACACAGACAACACTTGCAGTAAGATATCATGTTTCCTTGATACCTGTAGTAAGATTGTCCTTCCCTGTGTCTGATTATGCCCAACACAGACAACACTTGCAGTAAGATATCATGTTTCCTGGATCCCTGAAGTAAGGATGTCCTTCCTTGTGTCTGAGTATGTCCAACACAGACAACACTTGCATTAGATATCATGTTTCCTTCATCCCTGTAGTAAGATTGTCCTTCCTTGTGTCTGATTATGTCCAACACAGACAACACTTGCAGTAAGATATCATGTTTCCTTCATCCCTGTAGTAAGATTGTCCTTCCTTGTGTCTGATTATGTCCAACACAGACAACACTTGCAGTAAGATATCATGTTTCCTTGATCCCTGTAGTAAGATTGTCCTTCCTTGTGTCTGATTATGTCCAACACAGACAACACTTGCATTAAGATATCATGTTTCCTTGATCCCTGAAGTAAGGATGTCCTTCCTTGTATCTGATTATGTCCAACACAGACAACACTTGCATTAGGATATCATGTTTCTTTGATCCCTGAAGTAAGGATGTCCTTCCTTGTGTCTGAGTATGTCCAACACAGACAACACTTGTATTAAGATATCATGTTTCCTTGATCCCTGAAGTAAGGATGTCCTTCCTTGTGTCTGAGTATGTCCAACGCAGACAACACTTGCATTAAGATATCATGTTTCCTTGATCCCTGAAGTAAGGATGTCCTTCCTTGTGTCTGAGTATGTCCAACGCAGACAACACTTGCATTAAGATATCATGTTTCCTTGATCCCTGAAGTAAGGATGTCCTTCCTTGTGTCTGAGTATGTCCAACGCAGACAACACTTGCATTAAGATATCATGTTTCTTTGATTCCTGAAGTAAGGATGTCCTTCCTTGTGTCTGAGTATGTCCAACGCAGACAACACTTGCATTAAGATATCATGTTTCTTTGATTCCTGAAGTAAGGATGTCCTTCCTTGTGTCTGAGTATGTCCAACGCAGACAACACTTGCATTAAGATATCATGTTTCTTTGATCCCTGTAGTAAGAATGTCCTTCCTTGTGTCTGATTATGGACAACACTTGCAGTAAGATATCATGTTTCTTTGATCCCTGTAGTAAGAATGTCCTTCCTTGTGTCTGATTATGTCCAACGCAGACAACACTTGCATTAAGATATCATGTTTCTTTGATCCCTGAAGTAAGGATGTCCTTCCTTGTGTCTGAGTATGTCCAACGCAGACAACACTTGCATTAAGATATCATGTTTCTTTGATCCCTGAAGTAAGGATGTCCTTCCTTGTGTCTGAGTATGTCCAACACAGACGGCATTAGTGATCAAGTTACATTTCATTTTCTCTATTGATGTACAACACTGATGACACCTGTTAAGTGTTACCTTTATTTTGTCCGATCAAATCCAACGCAGACAATCCGACTTGTGTAACACTTCTGTATGTCCATAAACAATGTTAGTTTAATGGCATGTATTTGACATATATATGTCATTGTGGAGAGTATTTATTTGTGATTACATATATGCATGTATATCATAAGCCACGTTTCGTCGCCGCCACTCCTTAAGGAAAAACATTCAGCGGAAACACTGAGTGTTAGTTATTCACATAAACAGTGGAAGGATAACTGTTTCTGTCTCACGTTGCAGGTAAAACAAGTAGCTGTTCCTGCCAGAGAGCATACGGTATTGACACAACCAGCGCCGACGAGTGCACGTAAGATGTGTTTTGTTATCATATATTTCATCAGAGATTTAAACAGAAAATAACGTCCTATTTCCACAACTTGCAAACCAGGGGTATTGTAAATATGCTCTGCAAGATTTATGTACCTTTAGTACAGAAAAGGAAAGATCAACATCGCACGGAAATACAAATAATTTATAAACATATATATATATATATATATCACACTAAAATTTAACATGAGAACATAATTGTCAAAACGAATTGATTAATCTGTGTATTATCTTTTGCACTCAAGTGTAAACATTGACAATGTTTGAATCATACCAGCGCCCAAAAAGGCGTGGTTACATGTCTGAGGTCGACAACTGACACGGGATGTACAGGAGAGGCTGCTTTCACCAAGACAAGAACTCAACTCGGCACAGATCTAGAGACGTATCTTACATCATCATGTTGTAAGTCTTTAAGAAAGTTCCCATCGCAAAACAAAGTGGCTATACATACTGGTGAAACTAAAGTGAGTGAGTGAGTATGGTTTTACGCCGCTTGTAGCAATATTCCAGCAATATCACGGCGGGGGACACCAGAAATGGGCTTCACACATTGTACCCATGTCAGGAATCGAACCCGGGTCTTTGACGTGACGAAACTAAAGAATAAACAAATGTGGGTTCATTCCTTTCTAAGTTAATACTGAACTACTGGCTATATATACAGTTGAAACTATAGAATGAATTAAATACGGTTCCATTTCTATATAAATACTGAATTGTACAACTGGTAATACTGTTACGAGGTGAATTCCAAATTGAAACCCATATTTGTCTCAACACATTAACGTTATTGATATACTCTCCAATTGTTTGTTAATGTTTAGCTTCGGGCTTGACTGACACCTGTCAGTGCCAGATTGAGTACGCCAAGGCATCAATGGAACCGGCAGTCAGCTTATGCATGTAAGTACATCATCCACTAATATGTAAATTGTTTTAATCTCTTGTAGAAAATATCACAGTCGTGCAAGGTTGCATGTTATCGTTGTACCATGTGTGTCATAGGCAGATGGCTACGTGGGTATGAGGGTAGATATAATGGTGGATTTGGTTGACAACAAACTATTTCATGATCCTTATATTCAGGCCTTTCCTCATTATACTTACCCCGTAAGGTTAGGATAGGTTCCATCGACCAGCAACCCATGCTGGTCGTAAGAGGCGACCAAATGGATCGGGTGGTCAGGCTCGGTGCCTTGTTTGACCGCGTGGCATCGTATTGTTCACAATATCAAACACTGAATTGACTGGTCCAGACTCGATTTATTATAGCCAGCTCTCAGACAGCTGGAATATTACTGAGTGCGGCATTAAACAACTGACAAATCGTTATATTTCATCAGGTCGCTTGGGGAACTAATTTCATGTTTGGCGGGCAAGACTGCACTGGCTTGTGATGGAAGTATGATACCTTCTGTGCTTACGACAAATGTACAAACAGACCAGCAAACTACCTGCAGTAAGTATTCTACTTTCCCAGTGTCTACCACCTCCTTGGACTAGAGGATAGAGCGTCTGCCCGGCGAGTTAAAAGTTGGTACTTGTTGTTACCCTACCTTACGCTTGGCATTAAGGGGATAAAACAAAGACTGGTCCTCTTGGAGTCAATATCATGTGTCTTGATTTTGAACTGCCGCATGGTTCCTCAGTGGACTAGCACTATAAACCCGGCATTAACCCACCAATAGTTTAAAGGCTTTTTTCGGTCATATGCAGACAGGGCGCTGTAGTAAGTACCCCAGCTCTTCACCGCCTGTAGTGTCCCACCCATAGTACATCAGTTTGTAGCCACATGCAGACAGGACGCTGTAGTGAGTACCCCAGCTCTTCACCATCTCTAGTGTCCCACCCATAGTACATCAGTTTGTAGCCACATGCAGACAGGGCGCTGTAGTAAGTACCCCAGCTCTTCACCATCTCTAGTGTCCCACCCATAGTACATCAGTTTGTAGCCACATGCAGACAGGACGCTGTAGTGAGTACCCCAGCTCTTCACCATCTCTAGTGTCCCACCCACAGTACATCAGTTTGTAGCCACATGCAGACAGGACGCTGTAGTGAGTACCCCAGCTCTTCACCATTTCTAGTGTCCCACCCATAGTACATCAGTTTGTAGCCACATGCAGACAGGGCGCTGTAGTAAGTACCCCAGCTCTTCACCGCCTGTAGTGTCCAACCTATAGTACATCAATTTGTAGCCACATGCAGACAGGGCGCTGAAGTAAGTACCCCAGCTCTTCACCATTTCTAGTGCCCCACCCATGTACATCAGTTTGTAGCCACATGCAGACAGGGCGCTGTAGTAAGTACCCAAGCGAATTTATACTTCAGTTTCTTTACGGATAAGAAGTGTCTATCCGGCTTCGTTAATAGAAGAGACAAAAACCCTTTCCATAACCTAAAGAAATCTCGGCTAAAGTCATTGTAGTCCATTGTGCGACTCCGACTGTATCATTAGCATATGTTTATGAATCATTTATCAAATAGTAAAGACACCAGGTGATCGCAAATAGATGAGCGTATCCTCCTCATAGGTGGCACCCGTCACAAACACATGCAAAGGCAAGTCAATTGTTCACCTAAAAACACGGAAATATGTCGTACAAGTCAAAATAGGGAACATAATTGAACCAATTTGGAAATATCCTCCACCTGTCCAGCATTAACCTTTTCCAAAACTTTGCTGAGGCCTTGAAAGTTAAACCTTTTTTTCTTAATGCTAATAGATGCAGAAAAAGGTTCATGCCATAGGCTGCGTGTTGTTTATCAATGAAGTTTTTATTCACACGTGTACTTCACTCATCACACGGACAAGCATTACCCCCAAGATACATCAATACGGACAAAAAGTAACACACTTCGAAAAAAATCTAAATGAACAATCATTGGGCAAAACAGATTATTGACAAGCACATAATGTTAAAGAAGTACTATACATTGAAGTACTCGCTTAAAAGTTATCGCTGTCACATTCGGCCATTTTTGCGATCTGTTTTTCGGGTATTGTGCTGAAACGGAGACGAACGTATATTTCAACTGTAACAATTCTTCATAAAAGATGTTGTCATACATATTATACATTTACCTTATCAGATTGATGTTATGACGTCGTACCTAAACAAGAGTAAATCTTGAAGGTGAGGTGAAATGGGGTTTAACGTCGCGTCCAAGATTATTGCACTTATATAGCGTGTGTGTGTGTGTGTGTGCGTAAGTGCGTGCGTGCGTGCGTGCGTTCGTGTGTGTGTGTGTGACTGGTGCCGATTTATAGTGCTAGCTCACTGAGATACCATGCCGCAGTTTAACAGAAACCAAACTCAGACACAGTAAACTGACTCCGAGCCGATCAGTCCTTGTTTTAGCCCCTTATTGCCGAGCTCAAGACTGGGTACTATCAACAAGTATCATCTTTTTAAAGTCTTTTGGAATGACGCGAACGGGAATCGAACCCCGGACCTTCCGCTCTCCAGGCGGACGCCTTACCACGAGAGTGGTCGAATAAAAGTTGAATGGCAAATGTTTCGTTAAAGATATGACAGTTCGAGTATGCCGGTCTTTTGATACCATGCATACTGTCTACTGTGAATGTAGCTGAACGAGAATGATGTAAATTTCTACTTTAACTCGAATGTATGGAGCACGCCAGAAACCTATAATTGTGGGTTCGAATCCCGGTTCGCCCCGACTATGTGTCTAGGATTGTCAGCACCATACCCGTGCATTTGGGTTTCACCGAAGAGGTAAACGTCTGAGACCTGCATCACTTCGGGCTTTCCTCCCACATTAAGCTGACACGCCGTTATATAACTTGAATACTGTTAAAAGCGGCGTTGAACCCAACTCACTCACTCACTCGAATAGCTGGATGTCAGTTTACGGCGCATAATATCCTTACCAGTCTATGACTCATATCGGTGGCCTTTTACCTTTCTGTTGATCATATTTAACTGTTATTTGTTTTGTTGTTCCAAAGCCAAAATTGCCGGTGAAAAGTCCCTGGCAGAAAACTCTCCAAATCTGTGGTTTTCGGGTTAAAGATGATTTATTTTATTGGAACAGTGTTTCGGATACAAAAATACAATTTACTGCTCGTATTGTGTGTATTTATATGTTTGTTGCAGACAAGACATCTGCCCCGACGGATGTGCACTGCTCCAGTAGTACAGACTCGAGTTTACAGCTACAGTGGACAGACAGGCAACAGGCCACAGTGTACTATGTGGTGGAGATCGGTCGAGGCGGAGGTACAGACTGGCAACAAGTGAACGTTAGCCTCACGACAACTGACAATCAACAGTCAGCATGGATAGACAATCTTCAGCCACAGAGTGTATATTTTTTCCGTATCCATGCAAAGGGAACGCACTTTGCGAGCGAGATGGTAACGATTAATTGTCTACTATCAAGAACAGGTAATATGGGTCAAATATTTTGTTATTGAGAGGGTCGATGGTTGACATGGTCGAGTCAGTACGTGATATCACTCTAATATATGATTTTCTTGGCACTGGACTTGGTTTAAAACTGTCCGAAATTCAATCATTGTGAACACACTAACAGCAGTGCCACGATGTTTCGTTGGATGTTTAGGGTTCAAAGTGCCTTCATTTATACCGAGGAAGCCTGGAGGGTGAACACTGACATTGTGCTCATAAAATTACAGATGTAAACTCTCCTCACTATCCCTGTAACCCAAAAACTGATTGGGCTCGTGAAGATGCGAGGTAGAATAGGTCTTCGGGGACCCATACTTGCCGTAAAAGGCGACTAACGGGATCGGGTGGTCAGACTCGCTGACTTGGTTGATGCATGTCATTGATCCCAATTGCGTGGATCAATGCTCATGATGTCAATCACTGGGCTGTCTGGTCCAGACTCGATTATTTTCAGACCGCTGTCATATAGCCGGAATATTGCTGAGTGCGGCGTTAAACAACAAACAAACAACAACAAAACTCAAGACAAACACCTGCTTGGCCAAGCAGGGAAAATCTGGAAGACAGATTCTTTGGCACTTGAAAGCGAACAAGCATTATCCATATAATAAGAACGACAAATCCCTTTCCTTAACAGGACAGAAGGTCACGGGATAGTCTCGACCCCACAACGTTTTGTCTTGTCTGCTTGTCTTGTTTAGGGACTGGCGTTATTTATTATAGGGAGTGGGTGCGGTGAGGTGAGATTGGTCTTATGAGTGTACCATACTTTGCTACCCCCAACCCCTCATTTTATGTTAAAAAAACCCATCTGAGATACCATCCCGCAGTGTAACATGAATAACCCACTCAGACAGTTTACTGACTCCGAGCCGACCAGTCCTTGTGTTAGCCCCTTAAATGCCACACGACAAGCAGGGTAATAACCAGTACCATCTTTTGACGTCGTTTGGTATGAGGAGGCCGGGGATCGAACCCCCGACCAGACGCTCTACCACTAGACCTCGGGGGCAGGGATACTGCTGCGCGTCGCCAGGCAACAAACAAACATATACTTCTTTATGCAAATTGTGTGTGGCTGTGCTACCCTAGAGTAGGACATGCTTACCCTTTTTGTGAAAACCTGGTGTCATCACTGATTTTCAGTGATCCATAATTGTACCACTATTTTTACCTTTTTTGCGCCGAATGAAATCTCGGCAGAAACTCGAGACAGATTATTCTCTAGCGTTGACGGTATATATTTCACGCATCTTATTGCAGTTGGTATGAGTGATGGAGCTATCATTGCCATTGTGCTTGCTGTTGTCCTAGCAGTTTTACTACTTATAGCTGGAATCTATGTCTACCGGAGGAGGCACTCCATTTGCAAACAAGGTGAGATTCGTCCTATATTCATCGCTGTTAAAATGCCCTGTTAATGTGTTATAGGCGACGTTATTTAAATATATTTAAGAAATAAACGACGAGTGGAAGTTGTTTATCGTGCAATAAAACACTGCAGGGAGAATAAAAAAGGAGGGGCGCACCCGTTTATTTCTTATATGAGATACATGTATCAATAATTTGTACAGATTCTTTAAGGATGATGAGTGAGTATGGTTTTACGCCGCTTTTAGCAATATTCCAGAAATATCACGGCGAGGGACACCAGAAATAGGCTTCACACATTGTACCCATGTCGGGAATCGAACCCGGGTCTTCGGCGTGACGAGCGAACGCTTTAACCACTAGGCTACCCGACCGCCCCTTAAGGATGATGATAAAATATACAAGGTTTAAAGATGTATACCCGCATTTTAATAATGATAACTCCCTTGATAGAATCCGATCTCGACAATGTTGGAAAAAAGTCCATTTTATGCACAGGTGGGTATTATCGCGACCCTGTGTTCGATTACCTGTTCCTTTTCTCCCAATAACGATCGTCATATCTCTCCCATTTTGTGGCATTCGTGACCAACTCGTGTTATTCCGGGACAAGCCGAATAGCGACTCGTGCCCCTCTCATGGCCATTTTGTGCGACCGGGTTCCGTCTTAGCGCAAACGGGCATACCTAAAACCATTGTCAACTCGTTGCGTAATGGTTCACATATGTTTCCCCATATATTATATATATTTCAGATGTAATTTAAAGCACATCGGGACGTGCGGAATTATACAGTGTGATTGAACACACTTAAATGTGTCTTGGGTATATTTTTAGACGCAGGACATATGTAAAATCAAAAAGAAATTCTGAGGGATTCTTTGATGAAGAACTAGAAATCATACGCGCATTCTGATTGGTTTGTCGTATTTTCGCACATAACATTCATCGATAGGGGGACGAGTCTTCTTGCAGGTTACGGAAAGGGGCGAGTGGTGACGAATGATTTTGTGGAAGCAATCATTCGGCCATCGCGTTTATCTGGTCGTCCAGGAACATCTATGGGGAAAAACTCACCAGTCACTCCCCTCTCAAAAATAACGTCGTCCAATATACGACGTCATCAAGTTACGAACACATGTTTGAATCTTCAGAAATGACGTCATTATAGAACAGTGTTTTATCGTGAAAAAAAACACGCTTCGTTCATTATTCTTTGCTGATTTTCAGTGATCGATTTTTTATAATTTCCACCGTTATTTTGCCTTTTACTCCACATAGAATCTGTTTCGTCGGATAATCAAGGCTGGGTATTCTCTACTGTTGATGTTTTCGATATTTAATTATCATACCAAATGTATTGCTCCCTACGTGTGTATTCAATATATTGTGGGGAAACATATTTTATTATTTTTATGCATATTCCATCATTCATTAGTGTCATCGTTTAAGTGAAACAGACGTTTTATTTTTTTATTGTTTCAGATGAGATTCCACGAGAACATCTACAGATGGGGTAAGATATTTATCTCTCCCCTTCGTTATTTTCCGATCAAAATTCATTTTCAGTAATCATAAAAAAATACAATTAGTTATAGCTTCTGCTGTGAGAAAACTAAACCATTCGAATAAATACATCGAACAAAACATGATGTTTGTGGTGAACTGGCGGCATTTACTTGTATAATCTTGAAATTGTATTTTATAAATATTCCCCATAAGAGGTGAATTTATCAAACCTTTGACAAGATTTAAGATGTTTAACGATATGTGACGATGAAGTTCTACTATACTACGTAATATTGAGACTATAATCTGGTGGATATTACACGGACACAATATGGTTTATATAAACGCCAATGCTGTGACAGCTCCATGATTCTCCATACTTCGCGATTCGTTCAATTACCGATTCATCAGCTTCTTTACTTGAAGGGGGCACGGGTGGCCCAGTCGTCTAAGGCGCCGCGATTCGCTGTGCAGAGTTGCGTCCCTTGGGCACGCCAGAAACCGATGATTGTGGGTTCGAATCCCGGTTCGCCCCGATTATGTTTCTAGGTTTGTCAGTACCATACCCGTGCTCGTAGGTTTCACCGAAGTGGTAAACGTCTAAGACCTGCATCCCTTCGGGCTTTCCTCCCACATTAAGCGTTAAACCCTCACTCACTCACTCTTTACTTGAATACCGGCAGTGTGAGTGACCTCATATGTAGTGACATGTTCTGCGCACTTACGATTGAATTACGAATAGTTGAATTAATTCTTAACTAAAGATCATCGTATGCACACACACTAACAGGGACACTTTCTTAATTCCTATGCATAGAAATGTCAGCAATGTCCAAATAGGCATACAGTGAATGTCTATTTACGTGGGTTATGAATGAAATAACACACCCGTTCTTGTGAGATACCTTGAACACCCGGTATCACCACTATATGATAGTGACTTATGATAAAGTCGGAATCGTTCAATGGACAGGTTTTTCGTAGAGATTTCTTATGATTATGAAAAGTGTTTTTGAAGCTTTTCTGTACAAAAGTCGAACACTTTCTATGATATCTAATCTCGCTGTAACTCGGTTTGGTACTACAGAAAGTCTACTCGTATCGCAAAAATGTTGTTCTTACGATAATTCGTGTAGTATTCTCTATATGCTACCTCTGAAGAGAGTTTTTATGTCCCGGGAGTGCAATTACATCTACACATCAACAGTTTAATAATGTTGTATTGTTTGTTTGTTGTTTAACGCCGCACTCAGCAATATTTCAGCTTTATGGCGGCGGTAGACACCAGATCAGACAATCCAGTGATTGACATCATGAGCATCTATCCACGCAATTGAGATCGATGACATGCATCAACCAAGTCAGCGAGCTTGACCACCCGATCCCGTTAGTCGCCTCTTACGGCAAGCATGGATTGCTGAAGACCTATTCTACCCGGATTGTTGCATTGTAGTTATTGATACAGGTTCATAGAGGTCTATGTAGTCAGTACCAGTACTTATCTGAACTTAACTTAACTATTTTTTACGCTCACAACAGTGTGATCAACCATAGTTGTGTTTATAGATATGATTACATGTGTATATGTTGTTGTTTTTCTATTAGAACACAACCCACGCCAGCTGAGGCTGCTGTAAACCCTGTCCATCAAGCACTTGCAGGTGACATTTTGAGGTTTTTTTCACTATCCAAAAAGTGAGTGAGTGAGTGAGTGAGTATGGTTTTACGCCGCTTTTAGCAATATTCCAGCAATCTCACGGCGGGGGACACCAGAAATGGGCTTCACACATTGTACCCACGTCGGGAATCGAACTCGGGTCTTCGGCGTGACGAGCGAACCACTAGGCTACCCGACCGCTCCCTATCCAAAAAGACCTTATCATTTCTGTGCTGAGTTGCGCCTCTCAGTCGCTCTGGTCACGCTGGTCGTGTATTTGAATCTCGGATTCGCACCGTCGGTGGCACTAACACAGGCGATACAGGATACAGGATACAGGGTACACTCCGCTATCGTGAACACTTGGTATTATCACCATTTCATAGTGATTCCTAAACACACGCTTGTGCTACAGTTCTTCAATGGCCAATGCTGTTAACGGAAATAAATAATAACTATGGACATTAAAGGTTTTGTTGCTTTCGATTAAGACGCGTGTACTTTTCACAAAGCAATACTCACGCTACGACAGTATGTGTTTATTTCTTGGGAAAGTCGTAACGTAGACTTGTCTGCGCGAGAACATGACAATCTATTACGTCAATGCAATACACCATGGGCGGATACAGCTTTTTTGAAAAGGGGGGGGGGGGTGTGTGTGTGCACAATTAAGATCTATTTATTGTCTTTGGTGGTAATTTATACAGAAATAAAGATTTTTTTCGAAATAAAGGGGGGGGGGGGGGGGGTGCACCCCCTCTCTGTATCCGCCCACGTACACGAATACTCAACTTGTACTGTTCCAGATTCTGATGGGTCGCCTGGCGACAACCACTACGCAACAGTACAAACTCAAGGTGAAAACGACTATGAAGAAACTTCGTACGCGCACGTGGTTCACTTGAACAGCCCAATGTGACTGTGGGAGAAACGGCAGCAGATTTTATATGTTTGGTTGTTCGTTAAATTTCTTTTGTTCGTTTGTTGTTTAACGCAGCACTCAGCAATGTGCCAGATATATGACGGCAGTCTGTAAATAATCAAGTCTGGACCAGACAATCCGGTGATCGGAGCATCGATTGAAGTTTTGGGGACATGATGACATGCAACCAACACAAAACTCATTAGTCGCCTCTTGCAACAAGTATAGTCGCTTCTTGCAACGAGCATAGTCGTCTCTTGCAACAAGCATGGCTTGCTGAAGTCCAATTCCAACCCGGATCGGTTGTTGGTTTAATGGTTCCAGTCAGAGCTAGCGAAGCTACACCACGATGTCCTGTATATAATCGATCAACATTCATATATTGCATTAGTACAAACTTAACATTCACATAAACTATTCCCATCAGACACATTCTATCATGTTTAGTGTTGGTCACTTATAAACTGAAAAACAAAACAAACTTTACGCCTTAGTTGAATGTATCATGTACTTTGATTTTCAATTGAAAATATATTATTATGATAATTGCGATTACAGTTCATAAACTGAGGTGCATAAAAACTACATGTACACCTCTCTGTTGATTGTATTATATGTTTGATGTTTAATTGAAAATATCTTAAATTTGCGATATTATACCCACAAATTGAACTGTACTGGTGCTTAGTCAGAAATCAAAGAATACTTCGTCAAGGTTTTATTTTAAAACATATCATTTGATTTAAGACTTTTATATATTTTATTCTCATTTGCAAAATACACAACTGCTGACGGCTATCTCTGAATTATTATCTTTAAACATCAATCAAATTTCTTTTTTCAGCACAAATTTAAAACATTTCAAACCTCATAGGGGTTATGTGGTTTACAAATTCATTTCTTACCTCAGTCTTCATTAAACCAACTTATTTTTATACAAGATTACCCAGCCACAGGTTACCTTGTACAAACTGTTGCAGGAATGAGTGGTGGTTAAATAAACATACTCATATTTAACAACATTTCATTCAATTTTCAATTACATACATGTAAAGACTATTTAGTCTTTCTTTTACCCCTAGTTTATGTCACTTGGTAATTCACCCGAGAGTAAATTGCATGTTACACAAAATCTACAAAAAGACAACTCCTTCACATTTGTACACCTGTTTGCGTCTTGCTACCATCTTAGCAATAGCATTTACAAACCAAACCAGGCTAAGCAGATATGTTTGAAAGTCTGAGGATAATGCCTGTCGATTGGCCCATCACCTGATTGTCTGGTGTGTTCACAGGCCGCCGTGGCAGCACTGCTGCTGTACGGCTTCAGGCAAAAAACACATACTTTTTTTGCAACCTGTGTAAGTGGTGGCTGCTACCATAAGGGCAGGACATGCTTACCCTTTTCGCGAACACCTTGTGTCACCGCTGATTTTCAGTGATTCATTCATATAATTAATCATTATTTTGCCTTTAACGCCCTATGGAATGGGGAATGTCAGATATTCGGATTTATTCTCTGACGTTGGCATTTGGAATCTAGTGCACCTGTAAGAATTCACAAAGTTCTACAGATGTTAATTACATCAAACCCAATGAAAACAAATGGCGGAAGATCCTTCACGATGATTGTTTATGCTGCAGTGGTATCATAATATTATTAGATGTTCAACAATCCTGGACCGAATATGTGAATTTGTAAATATTATTTTACCCTTCCACTAAGCGTGCAATAAACTCTTGGATTCATTATGCGTGTGTGTGTATGTTGTTAATATTTCCTCGTTTTTTTATGTGACAACTGATACATTTGTTTTATATTTTCTTCAATGACATGTATACATAAGTTTGACAGCACGAGACATGTTCAGAGTTTCTTGCAGTTGAATGTATCATATATGAGGCCCGTGCTCCGCTCTTCAATCTAGGAAATAGTGTTGGAAACAAGTAGAACAGTCGGTGTTTTCAGGTAGGTATCCTGTCATCTTCCCGCGGCAAGGGAAATAACTGACTGTAATGTCCAGTTTTCACCATTGCCGGAATTTCCGCTAGGCTGGAATTTCCTGACTCGATCGTAGCGCCAACATTGGCTAATTATGAGTTATGGCCCTTCTATGGCCCTCCTACTGACCTCCTCCATTATCACATGCATTTGCTTCGCCAGTTGCAGTGCAGACGATCGATATCTGTTCGATAATCAACATCTTTATTGTGAAAACATAGGTTTTACCTCGCGAAGTGCATCAAATCACTTGGGCACCTTTATTAAAAACATGAAAAGATTTGGAAAAAAACCTCTTGATGCCCAGTTGACGGAACACATGCGCCGTTTATTAACCGGATGTTGATATCGTTACGCGATTTTGATTGGACTTTGCATAGACTCGTTAGTCCCACCAAAATATAATTCCATAATTTCAGCCTATTTCGGTAAAGGTGGAAGCTGGACTTTTGTGGACAGTTAAGCCCCTTGCCTCCTTTCCGCAAGTTGATAAGTCGCTCGCATCTCCCACGTCTCATCTTATAAAGGTATAACCAGACTTCTAGGAGCTGTTAACTTGCGAAGTAACTCGAATGAAGGTGTTTGTCCCGGGAGTGAGTTGGTAACCCTAACTTCTGGCTGTCGCATACCTCAAAACAATCTAGTCACATTAGCTCTTGACATTTTACGGGAGCTTCAATTTAGAAATGATGCGCATCAGAGGTGAGGTGAGGTGAGGTGAGGTGAGTTGAAATGGGGTTTAACGTCGCGTTCAAGATTATTGAACTTATATAGCGACGTGTGCGCGCGCGTGCGTGCGTGCGTGCGTGCGTGCGTGCGTGCGTGCACTAGTCCGGACTAATGCCGAATTTATAAATAGTGCTAGCCTACTGCACGTTCCTCGGAGTTTTCCATTTTCCAAAGATCACAGATCCCCTGCTTATTTTGTTGTCACATCATTTGCTCAGTTGACTCATGTTTTTTGTGGATACACCTCTATGACATCATGTGATGGGCACAACTACACATTTCTCTATTACGCAATTTCTAAACAGTGTCACACCAGATCCCAGGGGTGGAGAAATCCGTGTCATATATATACAGCCTCTGTGGTTGTTACAAACCCTAGTAAGTACATAAAAACAATGACCATAAGTATTCAACTTTGCAATATATGTGCATAGTCACTTGATTATTATACTAGCGTAAATATATGCAAATTATGAGGCTGAGGATAAGTATTTTTCAAGCGTTTGTCACATGAAATCACTCATGTGTAGGATTAATACCAACGGTCTTTGTCTTTGTTTGAATCTTTCCCGAACACGTCTTGAAACCGTTTTCTTTTGTGCATGCAGATAAAGATACAAAACAATTAGTTTTTGCTACTGCTGTTGTTGTTGTGTTGCTGTTGTTGTAGTGGTTGATGTTGTTGCATTGCATCTATCATACGGCGGATGCAAATATTTTCAATGACCGAAATTATACTTTTTCATTTTTGAAACATGATTCTGTGAGACATTTACATAAGTAAATCAGTAGCCGTTGTGGGAAGTAAAGTGAGGCATCTAGAGTTAGTGAGTGAGATTGTTGCCACGCCGCTTTAAACAGTATATCCGTTATCACTTGGGTAGCAAAGTTTACCAAGTTTACGAATATGGTGCTGACAAACCTAGACAATCTGAGTGTATCTGGGATTCGAACCAACCGCCAGAGAATACGGCTCAGGGGCAATAAGTGTGTGCGTTTGGTGAGGGGGGGGGGGGGGGGGGGGGGGGGGGAGGGGTAATCGATTACAGCTGTACACTGTCATGATACCTTGTTTATAGGAACTGTTTGAATAGCCCAACAGTCGACCTGCGTTGTTTGTTTGACCTCGCGCCACCGCTTCGGAAATTCGCGCGAACGTTAGGCAAAGGCATTTAGCTATTTGTTTCAGATATTGGGATTTACAATATACAGTTAGTTTCGATAACATAGTTTATTTCTAAAACGGAAACGTTTGATGTTTTTCTTGACAGAGATACCATATTTTTCTAATTGGAGTAAGCAGATCTGTTTTGTCCAGCTCGGCAGATATATTTAAGCAAAGTAGGTATTTCGATCAGTAGTTTCAAATAATTCAATCACTTTAAAAATCAAAAGCAATACAATGCTCGTTTAGGATTCCGCTTCAGAACAGGGCCCCGTTGCACAAAGCTACCTTAGCGCTAAGGTTATCGTAGCTCCAATACTTAACATGTCGTTACCTAAGATCGCTTTATGCAAAGAGGCCAAGATCCATAGTATTCTGCCCTTGTCTTTTCGTTAAGGTGCAATGGCAGAACAGGTTCATGGTCTTAGGGTTGAGTGAATAGTGTTTTAAACTGTTGTGTTTAACAATATTGCAGATGTATCGCAGCGTGGTTGACTCAAACATTGTAGACAGACAGACAGATTGTTAATTTGAGTCTCACCTCACAGAAATAATTACATAAATACATATAAAAGGACATAAAAGTGAGCTACCCGTTAAGGGTTACGAGAGACTTAAAATGTATCACAGTATGTACAGCATAAATATATTGATGTAAAAGGGGTATGAAAATATACTACCCGTAACTAGCCATATAAAATATTTTTTCTTCGTTGGAGAATTAAAAAGCAGGTTTTGGCTGTAAAATATACATAATATTTAAAAAGTACAATAAGTTTATCCGTATTGCATAACTCTAGAAAGTATCGATATGGGAAAGGTACCAACGTGAATCAATTAAGCTCTGCTTCATTGTTGTGTTTGCAAACCATGTACCATCAACTTAACACGAGACGCCCTGCTACAAGATAACAGACGTTGTGTAAAAATGCGAGGAAAGATGTCAAGTTTCGTATGTGGAGTCCTTTCTTCAAGCAAAATCTGCCTCTTATATTTTGGTTAGACTGAAATCACTGGAATTTTAAATTAATTTTATTCACTAGACCCCTTGCATTAATTTCATGCTTTATAAATGTTTCGACAATTGCTGGGATAATAGTTTGACTGGTGCACACCAAGCACGAGCGTCAATGCGAAAGGATCGATAGACAGAGAATGCCGTCCTTTTCTCTCTGAATAAACAAATTTGTACTTCAGGCCACAGCAAATTGATTATTGGTTGTTCCGAACAGCGTGTTTGCTTGGTGAATTCTGGATAAGGAACACGATGGTGTAGTTGTAGCTACCGAATACCCTTTTAATGTTACAATTGTGTCCCTGTCATCTCATGTTTGGCAAAATCCAAAGAAGACGTCAAAATTAATCCTAATTGCTGTATCGGATCCATTTCCTAACACCACAGACCGAGTGGTTTGTTCATACAGATACAGAGAATTACCGTCATAGTAACGGTTTTATGCCATGAGAGCGACATTACACGTATTAACAATGCAGTCAATATGTTTGTTTGTTGTTTAACGCCGTACGTCCAGCTAATCCAGTCTGGACCAGACAATCCAGTGTGTGTGTGTGTCCAACCAAAACTAATTAATTATTACACATTTCCCATACACCATAAAACAACATGTTTAAACAGATATAATTTGCAAAGTCAAGCCTCATAAGGCTTGCGACACATAAATGAAAATGTATACATGTGTACACGCAAGATTATTAACTATATAGTAAGTACGATAAGTTACAGCAATAAATAAATTGCATCGATGGAAAGGAAGCTTGCTCATACAATCAATCACTATTTTGACAAGCCAAATATCGATTATTTACAAGCTCCGGGGAATATTTCTGACTGCGGTGTAAACAACAAATACATGCTTTGTCGAGAGCGCATTGCTCGAACACAACCGAACAACGCAAAGCTTCGTATTCAGGAAACACACCAGTATTTACTCAACCTTGAATATCTCTGAGATCAGAATTTGTGGGCAGGGGCATAAAGTCCCCTGACAAGGCAGGGGGTCCGCTTTTATTGTTTGAAATGATTTTACTCAAAGTTGAAAACGTTTTGTCGTGGGTTGAAAAGCGAAGGGATCGTTCTTCAACACGAAACTTTGAAGGATACGTACCGCATTTGGAATGGCCGTTTCAGTTGTGTCGGGTAAATGTGGCATGTGTATGTGTAGTTGGTGGAACATGTCTATTGTACATTTGGTTTTATACATGCATGGTGTATATTTAGTTCATATATAGGGATGTGTGATTGTTGGTGTATCAGTTATCAAGTTGGTTTAAAACAGTGGTAGTATGTGATGTGATTTTATTGTATCGATATCTTGTGTGGATTAGTTTACAACACGTGCACGTTCTCCGTCTATTGATTGGGCAGGATATATGCTTTTACTGCATGGACATTTTGTGTAGATTATTTACAACACGTGCACGTTCTCCGTCTATTGATTGGGCAGGGTATATGCTTTTACTGCATGGACATTTTTTGTAGATTATTTACAACACGTGAACGTTCTCCGTCTATTGATTGGACAGGATATATGCTTTTACTCATGGACATTTTGTGTAGTTTATTCACAACACGTGCACGTTCCCAGCTTGTTGATTGGACAGGATATATGTATTTACTGCATGGACATTTTGTGTAGATTATTTACAACACGTGAACGTTCTCCGTCTATTGATTGGGCAGGATATATGCTTTTACTGCATGGACATTTTGTGTAGTTTATTCACAACACGTACACGTTCCCAGCTTGTTGATTGGACAGGATATATGTTTTTACTGCATGGACATTATGTGTAGATTATCTAACAACACGTGGACGTTCTCCGTCTATTGATTGGACAGGATATATGCTTTTACTGCATGGACAGTTTGTGTACATTATCTAAACACGTGCAAGTTCGCCGCCTATTGACTGGGCAGGATATATGCTTTTATTGTATGGACATTTTGTGTAGATTATTTACAACACGTGCACGTTCTCCGTCTATTGACTGGGCAGGATATATGCTTTTACTGTATGGACATTTTGTGTAGATTATTTACAACACGAGCACGTTCTCCGTCTATTGATTGGACAGGATATATGCTTTTACTGCATGGACATTTTGTGTAGATTATTCACAACACGTGCACGTTCCCAGCTTGTTGATTGGCCATGATATATGCTTTTACTGCATGGATAGTTTGTGTACATTATCTAACAACACGTGCACGTTCTCCGTTACTTTGGACAAATCTCCATACGTTTACTTTTCAGATTCCAATCCGCAGTGCCTTGTCAGCTCTGGGACAATGGACGAACCTGTTATATATTCGGAGTAAATTGGAAATATTCCCTACAATGACAGGAACGTATGGAGTTATGTAATTGACAATCCTATTACAGTTTTAAACAATGAAGCGCTTAAATACCAATATCAGGAGATGTTGGGCAGGAGTTGCAACTGTAATTGTAGTGCTTGTTACATCATCCTTTATGTATTACACGTCACATGGTTATTTGACTGGGTTATCACATGTTGCAACTAAGTATGACATCTATAAGAAGGCCTCGATCATCAATGCACATGCTGCACCTGCGACATCTCTATCTATGGCTGATGAACAAGTGTTTTCCAAATGGCGACTGAAGAGTCCCCTGGAAGATCTTGTTACAATCCCCGAAAGGGGGCGATTTGGTAACGCTATGTTTCAGTATGCATCGCTGCTTGGGATTGCCTTCCGCAACGGTAAGCGACCAGTCATATCCAGCACAACGTCCCTCATTAAACTGTTTAATATCTCCTTCACTGACGACGTTGACACACAAAGGTGGACATCCGTCCGAGAGAAACGATACGCCAGCTACGACGACCAGTTGGAAGACCTTCCAAAGGGAAACGTGAAAATACTCAGTTTTTTGCAGTCATGGAAATATTTCGAGCCAATCAAATCTCAGATTCAAAGGGAATTTAAACCAAAAGGCACATATGCTAGAATTGCTGCGAACTCGTTCAAACAATACACTTCTCCATTTCCCAATCGAACTGTCATAGCTTTACATGTCCGAAGGACAGACATAAACCAAGAATGGTATCGAAAGCGAGGCTATACAACGGCTCCTCTGTCCTACATAAGGAAGGCTGTTGCTCACATGAAACTAAAGTTCATCAATCCTCTGTTTCTTATTGCTACAGATGACGTTGACTGGTGTTATAAGCACCTAACTGCCCCAGACATTGTGATAATGCACAACATGAATGAGTACGTAGACTTTGCTGCTATGACGATGTGTGATCACATGATTATGACGGTGGGAACCTTTGGTTGGTGGGCAGCCTGGCTCATTGATGGCTATACTGTGTATTACAATGGCTACCCGTTAACTGGTACGGCCATAAGCATAGGGTTTGAGAAAGGTGATTTTTACATGCCTAAATGGGTTCCTATGGGTAATTAATAATCGTTAACTTCGTTAAAACTATTTGTTGAATAAAGACGAGATAATATGGGCATTGTTTTCAAATATAGTGGGAATTATATATAACAATCCTTTCGATTATTTTTGTTGTCTAAGCGATCTTTGCCGGAAGTGGTGTAAAAAACCATCCTCAATCTAATTTTGGTTTTCTGAATTTTCTAAATAAATAAACTGTTACGCCTCATGTTAACCCCGTTTTAATTTTTTAAAGCACACACACATATATATATATTCATACATACATCCCCACACCCAAACTCACACTGTCGTTCCGACAAATCGTGAACAAGCTTGCCAAAGACCATTGGTACAAGGATATAGCTATTTTACGTGCGCATCAAAAGTGTGTTATTTTTCCATTCTATAAAAACTACAACTGTCGCAACAGTTACTACGATTGATACAACCATTATCTTCTCCCTAAATTATGTTATTTATACTGTCACTCTAATACCTCACATCTTATATCAGTATATAGCTGCATAAACCAATACTACCATACACACACATACTGTAGTCTCAAATGTAAAGTGTACTATCAACATAAAGACTATTACCGATGTAATGAATACCCTCAGTGTAATGAATACAGTAAATGTTACAAATACTATCAGTGTAGCGGATCCTTTCAGTGTAAAAAATACTATCAGTGTAACGGATACTATCAGTGTAACAAATACCATCAGTGCAGCGGATCCTTTCAGTGCAACAAATACTATCAGTGTAGCGGATACTATCAGTGTACCGGATACTATCAGTGTAACAAATACTATCAGTGTAGCGAATACTATCAGTGTAGCGGATACTATCAGTGTAACAAATACTATCAGCGTAGTGAATACTTTCAGTGTAACACATACTATCAGTGTAGCGAATACTTTCAGTGTAACACATACTATCAGTGTAACAAACACTATCAGTGTAACAAATACTATCAGTGTAGCGAATACTATCAGTGTAACAAATACTATCAGTGTAACAAACACTATCAGTGTAACAAATACTATCAGTGTAGCGAATACTATCAGTGTAACACATACTATCAGTGTAGCGAATACTATCAGTGTAACAAATACTATCAGTGTAGCGAATACTATCAGTGTAACAAATACTATCAGTGTAACAAACACTATCAGTGTAACAAATACTATCAGTGTAGCGAATACTATCAGTGTAACACATACTATCAGTGTAGCGAATACTATCAGTGTAACAAATACTATCAGTGTAGCGAATACTATCAGTGTAACACATACTATCAGTGAAGCGAATACTATCAGTGTAACAAATACTATCAGTGTAGCGAATACTTTCAGTGTAACACATACTATCAGTGTAGCGGATACTATCAGTGTAACAAATACTATCAGTGAAACAAGTACTATCAGTGTAGCGGATCCTTTCAGTGAAACAAATACTATCAGTGTAGCGGATACTATCAGTGTAACAAATACTATCAGTGTAGCGGATCCTTTCAGTGCAACAAATACTATCAGTGTAGCGGATACTATCAGTGTAACAAATACTATCAGTGTAGCGGATACTATCAGTGTAACAAATACTATCAGTGTAGCGGATCATTTCAGTGTAACACATACTATCAGTGTAGCGGATACTATCAGTGTAACAAATACTATCAGTGTAGCGGATACTATCAGTGTAACAAATACTATCAGTGTAGCGAATACTATCAGTGTAGCGAATACTATCAGTGTAACAAATACTATCAGTGTAGCGGATCCTTTCAGTGCAACAAATACTATCAGTGTAGCGGATACTATCAGTGTAACAAATACTATCAGTGTAGCGAATACTATAAGTGTAGCGGATACTATCAGTGTAACAAATACTATCAGCGTAGTGGATACTTTCAGTGTAACACATACTATCAGTGTAGCGAATACTTTCAGTGTAACACATACTATCAGTGTAGCGGATACTATCAGTGTAACAAATACTATCAGTGTAGCGAATACTATCAGTGTAACAAATACTATCAGTGTAGCGAATACTATCAGTGTAACAAATACTATCAGTGTAACAAACACTATCAGTGTAACAAATACTATCAGTGTAGCGAATACTATCAGTGTAACACATACTATCAGTGTAGCGAATACTATCAGTGTAACAAATACTATCAGTGTAGCGAATACTTTCAGTGTAACACATACTATCAGTGTAGCGGATACTATCAGTGAAGCGAATACTATCAGTGTAACAAATACTATCAGTGTAGCGAATACTTTCAGTGTAACACATACTATCAGTGTAGCGGATACTATCAGTGTAACAAATACTATCAGTGAAACAAGTACTATCAGTTTAGTGGATCCTTTCAGTGCAACAAATACTATCAGTGTAGCGGATCCTTTCAGTGCAACAAATACTATCAGTGTAGCGGATACTATCAGTGTAACAAATACTATCAGTGTAGCGGATCCTTTCAGTGCAACAAATACTATCAGTGTAGCGGATACTATCAGTGTAACAAATACTATCAGTGTAGCGAATACTATCAGTGTAGCGGATACTATCAGTGTAACAAATACTATCAGTGTAGCGGATACTATCAGTGTAACAAATACTATCAGTGTAGCGGATCATTTCAGTGTAACACATACTATCAGTGTAGCGGATACTATCAGTGTAACAAATGCTATCAGTGTAGCGGATACTATCAGTGTAACAAATACTATCAGTGTAGCGAATACTATCAGTGTAGCGAATACTATCAGTGTAACAAATACTATCAGTGTAGCGAATACTATCAGTGTAGCGGATCCTTTCAGTGCAACAAATACTATCAGTGTAGCGGATACTATCAGTGTAACAAATACTATCAGTGTAGCGAATACTATCAGTGTAGCGGATACTATCAGTGTAACAAATACTATCAGTGTAACAAATACTATCAGTGCAACAAATACTATCAGTGTAGCGAATACTATCAGTGTAGCGGATCCTTTCAGTGCAACAAATACTATCAGTGTAGCGGATCCTTTCAGTGCAACAAATACTATCAGTGTAGCGGAAACTATCAGTGTAACAAATACTATCAGTGTAGCGAATACTATCAGTGTAGCGAATACTATCAGTGTAACAAATACTATCAGTGTAACAAACACTATCAGTGTAACAAATACTATCAGTGTAGCGAATACTATCAGTGTAACACATACTATCAGTGTAGCGAATACTATCAGTGTAACAAATACTATCAGTGTAGCGAATACTTTCAGTGTAACACATACTATCAGTGTAGCGGATACTATCAGTGAAGCGAATACTATCAGTGTAACAAATACTATCAGTGTAGCGAATACTTTCAGTGTAACACATACTATCAGTGTAGCGGATTCTATCAGTGTAACAAATACTATCAGTGAAACAAGTACTATCAGTGTAGTGGATCCTTTCAGTGCAACAAATACTATCAGTGTAGCGGATCCTTTCAGTGCAACAAATACTATCAGTGTAGCGGATACTATCAGTGTAACAAATACTATCAGTGTAGCGGATCCTTTCAGTGCAACAAATACTATCAGTGTAGCGGATACTATCAGTGTAACAAATACTATCAGTGTATCGAATACTATCAGTGTAGCGGATACTATCAGTGTAACAAATACTATCAGTGTAGCGGATACTATCAGTGTAACAAATACTATCAGTGTAGCGGATCATTTCAGTGTAACACATACTATCAGTGTAGCGGATACTATCAGTGTAACAAATGCTATCAGTGTAGCGGATACTATCAGTGTAACAAATACTATCAGTGTAGCGAATACTATCAGTGTAGCGAATACTATCAGTGTAACAAATACTATCAGTGTAGCGAATACTATCAGTGTAGCGGATCCTTTCAGTGCAACAAATACTATCAGTGTAGCGGATACTATCAGTGTAACAAATACTATCAGTGTAGCGGACACTATCAGTGCAACAAATACTATCAGTGTAGCGGATACTATCAGTGTAACAAATACTATCAGTGTAGCGAATACTATCAGTGTAGCGGATACTATCAGTGTAACAAATACTATCAGTGTAACAAATACTATCAGTGCAACAAATACTATCAGTGTAGCGAATACTATCAGTGTAGCGGATCCTTTCAGTGCAACAAATACTATCAGTGTAGCGGATCCTTTCAGTGCAACAAATACTATCAGTGTAGCGGAAACTATCAGTGTAACAAATACTATCAGTGTAGCGAATACTATCAGTGTAGCGAATACTATCAGTGTAACAAATACTATCAGTGTAGCGAATACTATCAGTGTAGCGGATCCTTTCAGTGCAACAAATACAATTAGTGTAGCGGATACTATCAGTGTAACAAATACTATCAGTGTAGCGGACACTATCAGTGTAACAAATACTATCAGTGTAGCGAATACTATCAGTGTAGCTGATCCTTTCAGTGCAACAAATACTATCAGTGTAGCGAATACTATCAGTGTAGCGGATCCTTTCAGTGCAACAAATACTATCAGTGTAACAAACACTATAAGTGTAGCGGAGACTATCAGTGTAGCGGATACTTTCAGTGTAACAAATACTATCAGTGTGGTGGATACTATCAGTGTAACAAATACTATCAGTGTAGCAAATACTATCAATGTAGCGGATACTTTCAGTGTAACAAATACTATCAGCGTAGTGGATACTATCAGTGTAGCAAATACTATCAGTGTAGCGGATACTTTCAGTGTAACAAATACTATCAGTGTAGCGGATACTATCAGTGTAACAAATACTATCAGTGTAGCGGATCCTTTCAGTGCAACAAATACTATCAGTGTAGCGGATACTATCAGTGTAACAAATACTATCAGTGTAGCGAATACTATCAGTGTAGCGGATACTATCAGTGTAACAAATACTATCAGTGTAGCGGATACTATCAGTGTAACAAATACTATCAGTGTAGCGGATCATTTCAGTGTAACACATACTATCAGTGTAGCGGATACTATCAGTGTAACAAATGCTATCAGTGTAGCGGATACTATCAGTGTAACAAATACTATCAGTGTAGCGAATACTATCAGTGTAGCGAATACTATCAGTGTAACAAATACTATCAGTGTAGCGAATACTATCAGTGTAGCGGATCCTTTCAGTGCAACAAATACTATCAGTGTAGCGGATACTATCAGTGTA